CCCCCCCAGCCTGCCTTTGCAGGCCAGCTAAGGAAGAGGAGGCTTTTGAAGATGCCCCCTTTTGCTTCCCCTTCTGACATCACTTCCGGTGATGTCAGGAAGCATGGAATATGCTAATAAGCTATTATGCTAATAGCCTATTAGATATGCTAATGAACTCCTGCAGCTCTTTTTCTACGAAATGACCCCTGTATAGAAGGAAACCATCTTTCTTGTGAATATTTTAAATTAAATCGTGTTCCTTTTACTATACAGTTCTTGATTCAAGGAGCTGCATATTTATCAATTTATTTCGTTCCTTATCTACAGTTCAACATAGAGGCAAAGGCTAAGGTGGTTGGCTCATTTGCTAATCATATGAAAACAGAGATCACTAAAAATAAAATGCCCTATTAACTTTGAGGAAGAGAACAAGAATGAGAACTAAGTCGTTCTGCCAGGGCTCCAAACAATTTCTTTAAACACCCACAGTACAATAGTTACCATACTATATGTTGTCGAATGCTTTCGCGGCCGGAGTTCATTACTTGCTGTAGATTTTCCGGGTTGTGTGGCCATGGTCTTGGCATTGTAGAACCTAACGTTTTGCCAGTAACTGTGACTGGCATCCTCAGAGGTATAACACAGAAAGATGGAATACTGTCTGTGTCAAGGTATCCACAGTTTTTTTTTTATAACTTTATTTTTTATAACAAATTTTAACATTTTTATAACAATTCAAAACAATAAAACAATAATCAATATAATACAAAATCCAAATATTTAGTGGGCAGTTCTGTCAAACCATCTTTTACAGTATTAACATAACTAAAAAACACAAACCACTTTTCTACAAATGTTGACACCTTATGCGGTTGCTCCATTTCTAAAATTTGCATAGCTATTTTATCCATAACTACTATATCCCACAGTTTAGTAAACCATTGTTTTAGGGTAGGTACCTTTTCAAGTTTCCAAACCTGCGCTATTAGAGTTTTTGCTGTAATGAGCATTAATGCTATTAAGTCTTCAGTTGTTTTTGAAAAAAGATCTTTGTCCCATAAATGTAACAATATTGATTCAGGAGTTTTCGGTAAATCAATCCCTAGTATAGCTTCAATTTTTGTTATTACTTCATTCCAAAAACTTTGTATCTTGGGACAAGACCACCAACAATGAATTAGTGAACCTATTTGGTTACAGCCTTTCCAACAACTTGAATCTTTCTTAACTTTTGCGTGAAATAATTTCAAAGGGGTGACATACCAACGTGCAAATAATTTATAATTCTGTAACCTAATGTTTAATGAAGATGTTGTAAATAAAGATGATGACCAAATTCTAGCCCACTGTTCCGGTGTTATTATTCTATTACAATCTTTTTGCCATGCAATTTGCTGTGTAGCTTCCATGTCCCACTTCTCCTGAGCTAGTTGTCTATATAGAATGGAAATAATGCCTTTATGTTCCATTATCCCCTTATCTATTAAAGTTTCAAAATTCGTTAACTGTCTATTTGTGTTTTCCAAAATATTATTGCTTGTAATAACATTTACCAATTGCTGGTATTGAAACCATTGAATCTGGAAATTATATTTTAATTCCAATTGTTGTTGCGTCCAAATTTGATTCTTAAAACAAATATCTTGAATTCTAAATTTACCTATCTGTCTCCAATTTTGAAAAGTGTTAATTTGTTCT